TGTCTCTCTCTGTCCCAAAAAGAAATAAAAAACGTTGGAAAAAAAATTAAAAAAAAAAATGAAATCAATTAAAAATTTTAATTTGGAACCAAATTGCCAGTAACTCAATTACTGGATAAACCAAAGTACCTTCCGTTATCTTGGTCATATCAAAGAAAAAGAAGAAATTATTTTTATAACTCACATGATGAATGACTTTAAGGACATAAACAATATAGGAAATAATTTTCCCTTTTGGAACTTCTTTTTTGAGTTAATTTTTATTTTTTTATTGTTATTTTTAAAGTTTTTATTTGAGTTCCGGTTAACATACAGTGTAAATTAATTTCAGGTGTACAATTTAGTGATTCAGCACTTAGGTCCAACACCGGGTGAGTGTTCATCACAAGTGCACTCCTTAATCCCCATTACCTATTTGAGCCATTCCCCCCACCCACCTCCCTTCTGGTAACCATCTGTTCTCTTCTTGTTCTCTTCATTTTATTTCTTGGGTTACCTTTCTCTTTTCCCCCCTATGCTCATTTGTTTTGTTTCTTAAATACCACATCTGAGTGAAATCAGATGATATTTGTTTTTCTCTGGCTGAGTTATTTTGCTTAGCACAATACTCTCTAGCTCTATCCACATCATTGCAAATGGCAAGATTTCATTCTTTTTTATGGCTGAGTGATATTCCATTTTGTGTGTGTGTGTGTGTGTGTGTGTGTGTGCGCGTGCACACACACACACATATATATACCACATCCTTTTTATCCATTCATCAGGGACTTTGATAGACATTTGGGCTGTTTCCATAATTTGGGTACTGTCGATAATGCTGCTATAAACACTGGGGTGTGTGTATCCCTTTGAATTAGTATTTTTATATCTTTTGGGTAAAACCTAGTAGTGTGATTGCTGGATTGTAGGATAGTTCTATTTTTAAGCTTTTGAGGAAACTCCATACTGTTTTGCAGAGTGCACCAGTTTGCTGAAGGAGTTTTTAGTTTAAGCATGGGAATTTAAAAGTGCTTGCTTAGTAAATTAAGGGTCATTAGGTGTATCTCCCTTTGCCTTTGAAATTGCCTTGGCCCTCTGAATCTACCTTCCAGGAGTCTATATCCTGGATTCTTTTTTTATTTTTTTTAATGTTTCTTTATTTGTTTTGAGAGAGAGCACAAGCAGGGGAAGGGTCAGAGAGCGAGAATCCCAAGTAGGCTCCATGTTGTCAATGCGGAGCCTGATATGAGACTTTATCTCACAAACTGTGAGACCACTACCTGAGCTGAAATTAAGAGTCAGACGCTTAACTAACTGAGCCACCCAGGTGCTCTTGTAGCCTGGATTCTTAATGGACCTCTGCTTTTTGCTCTGTGATCCTAATCTTCCTTAGATTCTTCTTAGTGTGCACACATTTGAAAGCAGTAATTGTGGAAGAAAAGTAATGGCTCCATAGCAGATATTCTGTGGGAGCTTGGGTAGAAAGTTCTTACTGTGGTAATCATCGTAAATGATGATTTACTGAGCATTAGCTCTACGTTGAGCCTTGTGCTTGACACAGAGGGGTTACAGAGGTGATCAAGACAGATTTGGTTTCTTCCCTTACACCCATACTTAGGTTATCTTAATCACTTAATTCTATTGCTTCCTAAAACCTTTGGTGTGGAAGAAAGGGAGAATCAGCATATTGTGCTGGATGGGGAGTTTGCTCTGATTCTGACTTTTGGGAAACCCCAGTCCAGCTTTAAGAATCATGAATTGACTGCCTGAAAACCATCTAGTCTATTTCTCAATCTTTAGTCTTCTTTTTTTGGGTTCTGCCCTTAGGATGAAGCAAAGAATGGAAAGATCATTCGTAATGCCACTGCTCTAGTTAATATATGTGAAAGTGCTTTGAAAGAAGTGAAAGTCTATGTAAATAACAGGGAGTATGTTATTATTAGCACTAGGGAGGAGATAGGAGTATTTCTTGTGACATAAACTGATACTTAGCATGCCTTTTTTTTTTTTAACATTTATTTATTTTTTGAGAGACAGAGTATGAGCAGGGGAGGGGCAGAGAGAGAGAGGGAGAAACAGAATTCGAAACAGGCTGCAGGCTCTGAGCTGTCAGCACAGAGCCTGATGTGGGGCTCAAACTCACAAACCGTGAGATCATGACCTGCACTGGAGTCAAACGCTTAACCAACTGAGCCACCCAGACACCCCTAGCATGCCTTTTTAATGAGTGGTCAGATCGTATATAATACTACTACTTCAATTAATATTTGCAGAAGTGCTTTGAAAAAAGTGAAAAACCATGCAGGTACAAGGGAATGGTTTTATTATCACTGTTAATACCTGGAGAGAAGGTATTGAGTTGAATTTAGTTTATGGAATAACCACCTGTTTATTATGCTAATACAAACTTCAGACAGTGTCATGGTGACTTGGTTTTAATTTAATTATTTTAAAAGCTCACAGCAATTTTATGCATATTTATTTAATCTGTTTTTATATCCTTGTGATAAAGTGGAAGTGGCTGACTTTTAGTACAAAGAGGAAGTACTGCATATCAAGTACATAATAAAAATTGAGTCATTTGTTCATAGTCAATCACATTTAGTAGCTAACTTTAGCTTGTCTTCTCTCCAGGTTCATGATACTAACCTCCACTCAGTAATACTATTTGTTTGTACTAATTAGTAACAAGAATGACTCATTAAAGCTCACAAAGGAAATTGTCCAAGCTTAAGATTTAAATCCCTTAGCTCCCTGGTTTTTGCACCATTAATTATGCCTTTATTACTATTGTTATTTATTTAGCATTCCTGTAATGTTATCAACAAACTGCTTTAAATTGGTC